TGCAATACCAGCACTGGCCAGTAGGGGTCACTGTGTGTGGAGAGAGGCAGGTATAGGAAGTTACAACATATCCCTGCCTCTCTCTACTACTCACTGATCCCTGGTGGAGCAGCTACACAGCGCAGAGTCCAGACATCAGCTCTACAGCACAGGTAAGGGAGGGATGGGGGGAAAGGCAGCAGGGACACATGGGGACACTGAGACACTAGGGGACACATGGGGACACTGAGACACTAGGGGACACAGACACTAGGGGGACACATGATGACACATACACTAGGGGACACTGAGACACTAGGACACAGACACTGGGAGACCTGGGAACACTGAGACACTTGGTGACACTTGGGGACATATGGGGACACTGAGACACTAGGGGACACAGACACTAGGGGACACAGACACTAGGGGACACTGAGACACTGGGAGACCTGGGGACACTGAGACACTTGGGGACACTGGAAAAGATGGGGACACTGAGACACTAGGGGACACATGGGGATGCTGAGACACATGGGGACGCTGGGAGACATAGGGACATTGGGAGACACTGAGACATTGGGACACGGAGACACTATGTTCCCATGTCCCCCAGCCAGTGTCCCTAGTGTCTCAGTGTCCCCAAGTCTCCCAGAGTCTGTGTCCCATGTCTCTCAGTGTGCCTAGTGTCCCCATGTCTATGTCCACAACTGTCCTCATGTCTCCCCAAGTGTCTGTCTCCCAGCCAGTGTCTCCTAGTCTCCCAGTATCCCCTAGTCTCCCAGTGTCCCCTAGTCTCCCAGTGTCTGTGTCCTTAGTGTCTTTGTGTCCCCAAATGTTTCAGTGTCTCCATGTCTCCCAGTGTCTGTGTTCCTAGTGTCTCAGTGTGCCTGGTGTCCCCATGTCTCCCAGTGTCCCTATATGTCCCAGTGTCCACATGTCTATGTCCACAACTGTCCCCATGTCTCCCAGTGTCCCCAAGTGTCTGTCTCCCAGCCAGTGTCCCCTAGTCTCCCAGTGTCTGTGTTCCCATGTCTCTGTGTCCCTAGTGTCCCCAAATGTTTCAGTGTCCCCATGTCTCCCAGTGTCTGTGTCCCTAGTGTCCCCATGTCTCTCAGTGCCCCCAGTATCCTAGTGACATGGGGACACACTGAGACATTGAGACACTGGGAGAAATGGGGACACAGACACTGGGAGAAATGGGGACTGGGCGACATGGGGACACTGGGAGCAATCCATCTATACAGCAGATGGATTGCTGAGTTGGGGAGAACAAGGTTTCAGAGTGATGATGCATGAGAAACTGGCATGTGTTAGAAGAAGCAAGGCTGGACTGGTCTACCGGGAAATTTCCTGGTAGGCCGCCTACCCTGGGGCCTCTGCGAGCTGTGGCTATGATCAGCCGCGGCCCGTGATTTTACAGAATTTTCTCTGATGTCATTCCTTGTGATTTACATCATGTGATGTCATGCATAACTAATTAATTATACAAATGATTGAGGCTGGACATTTTTTCCAAGAAAGGTGGCAACCTTAACTACTCTGCACATACTCTTGCTGAAAGGAGCACTATAGGGTCAGGAACACAATCATGTATTTCTGACCCTATTATGTTAAAACCACCACCCTGGCCCCTTCTTGCCTCCCTAAATATAGTAAAATATTACTTGTATTCAATTCTGCAGCTGCTGGCTCAGAAGTGGTGGCCTGAGCAAATTACAATACTTCCCCATAGGATTGGCTGAGACTGTCAACTAGGCAGATCAGGGGCAGAGCCAGCACACGTCCAACATAGCCCTGGCCAATCAGCATCTCCTCATAAAGATAAATTGAATCAATGCATCTCTATGAGGAAAGTTCAGTGTCTGCACGCAGAGGGTGGAGACACTATATGGCAGTGCTGCCCACTAGGCAGTACTGCTCCAGGAAGCACCTCTAGCAGCCATCTAAGGAGCGGCCAGTGGAGTTATTTTCTCTCAAAAGACAGTGTTTACTGCAAAAAGCCTGAATGGAATGATTCCACTTACCAGAACAAATACAATAAGCTGTAGTTGTTCTGGTGACTATAGCGAGTGCTAGGGGACAGTCCTTAGAAAGAATGGAGTGAGCGCATCATTAGACGCATTTATGTCAAGCTCAAGGTGCTGCCTGCATAGTATGCCCTTAGTTGGACAGCCTGCAGGATTGGCAGGCAGCCTGACATGCATTCATGCCAGGCTGACCTTCCAATTCTTTGGACAAACATGCCCCCTTTTTGGGCATGTTCACCCCTTTTGGCAGGTCTTGTCACGTGATTCGCGCCAGTGGCACACCCTTTTACCCCGCCCATTGACTTCCTGCTTCACTGGACACTGCTGTTAGGGGTTATGGATTTACTTGAAAGATGAAAGCATAAATTAGAGAGAGATTAGCATAGAGTATGTGTTTTCTTATAGCTGCATCCTATGAGTTTCCCTCCAGCACCATCTCCATCAGATACATGACAATTGGGAGGTATGTTTGTTTTAGTGTTTTTGGTCGATAAGATTACGTAATTAGGCCCATCATAATTGTCAGCACCAGGCCCACTGTGCTCTTAATCCGGCCCTGCCCACAGCTAATTGGAATCTAGGATTTCACAACTTGGAAACTGAATTGTTTCATTATTTTAAGCTATTCAGCATCTCAGCATCTTTTCTTACATTGCTGAATTTTTGTCATTGAGGCACAAATTCATCCGCTTCCATCTTCAAATGGCTTCCATCGTTTTCCTTCTCTGATATAAAATATTGTTTTTCCTGATATTAGGAGGCATCAAATAAAAGGGAAGGTCTGGTATATTATTTAAAAATCACCATGCTAAATCAATACTTTTAGTAGACTTTAGTGTAGTGTAGACGTGTAGTGATAGCCTTCTTGTATCATCAGACAACAGAATTATTTAAAACCACGATTCAATTAATGTCTCATTAGTAAACATATATAAGAATCTCATACTACAAAATAAAGAATAATGGTAACCATTTTTTTAGGCAACAGAGTGCTTATTGAAGGATTCCACTCCATTTTTAAAAAAGAAGCTTGCCAAGCACCATAACCACTACAGCCTGTCCTGGTGCTATTCCACAGTAAGTAATCTAAGTGTTTGACAACTTAGCCCAGTGCCCCATTTGTCTTGATCATATTTGGCCAGAAAAAAAGCATGTCCAATGCAGGACCACTCTCATTGGCTGAGAGCACTCACCCAATCAGCATAGTTCTGCATGGCCCTTCATTGCTCTACAGAGCAACTGAAATTCTCCAATAAGAGGAGACTGGATCCATGGCATGCAGCTGCGTGCTCCCAGGTAAGTAGTCAAACATTACTAAAACGATTTTATTATTTAATGTGAGACAATGCCAGGACAATCTTGGAACCTTAACTGCTAAAGTTGGGTGTAGTGGCTGAGATAAGAGATAAGGAGAGTAACACCTTGTATCTTGATATAATACATTGGAACACAACAGTCAAATTCCAGGTTCATAAGATTCATAGATGAAGAGTGACCTCTAGAGGATACTTGTTGATACTACACACTCAATAATGTAGCTGCATTTTACATGGTTCCACAATCGAGTTTAATGTCACCACAATCTTTTTGGGACCTAACTTTATGTTTTCAGAGACACATCAACTTCCAGACTATAAGAGGCATCATGCTAATGAGACCTACAAGGTCAAAACTGCAGTCCATTGCTGGTTTTTGGTCACTGATCCTTTTGGATCATAGCCCTTGCTTTGATTTTTTTAAAGCTGTGTTTAAAACAGTGTTCATTGCTAAGGAATGCAGTATTAAGGCTGAAACACAATGCCTATCTGTTCTCATTTGCATGTCAAGCTATTAACTCTGGGACAGTTGAGGAAACAAGATATCTCAAGTTTCTGTGCCCAAGAACGACTTCACAAAGTCTAACTTGAGAAATGTAGGTGATGCATAACAGTATTTTTTGTATTAGCACTGTGGGGAGTTTTATTGTGTTTCATCTCACTACAGTCATTTTGGCACAATTGTACTAATCACAGAATATTGTAGAAGATCATTAAACTTGTTTTTACCACTCCAGATGCTTTAATTACTCCATACCTACACCTAGAATAAAAGGAAGCAATAGAAGAAGATGGTACTGAGGACCAGGCCAAGGTCGAGGATACCACAATACAGGGAGTGCAAAATTATTAGGCAAATGAGTATTTTGACCACATCATCCTCTTTATGCATGTTGTCTTACTCCAAGCTGTATAGGCTCGAAAGCCTACTACCAATTAAGCATATTAGGTGATGTGCATCTCTGTAATGAGAAGGGGTGTGGTCTAATGACATCAACACCCTATATCAGGTGTGCATAATTATTAGGCAACTTCCTTTCCTTTGGCAAAATGGGTCAAAAGAAGGTCTTGACAGGCTCAGAAAAGTCAAAAATAGTGAGATATCTTGCAGAGGGATGCAGCACTCTTAAAATTGCAAAGCTTCTGAAGCGTGATCATCGAACAATCAAGCGTTTCATTCAAAATAGTCAACAGGGTCGCAAGAAGCGTGTGGAAAAACCAAGGCGCAAAATAACTGCCCATGAACTGAGAAAAGTCAAGCGTGCAGCTGCCACAATGCCACTTGCCACCAGTTTGGCCATATTTCAGAGCTGCAACATCACTGGAGTGCCCAAAAGCACAAGGTGTGCAATACTCAGAGACATGGCCAAGGTAAGAAAGGCTGAAAGACGACCACCACTGAACAAGACACACAAGCTGAAACGTCAAGACTGGGCCAAGAAATATCTCAAGACTGATTTTTCTAAGGTTTTATGGACTGATGAAATGAGAGTGAGTCTTGATGGGCCAGATGGATGGGCCCGTGGCTGGATTGGTAAAGGGCAGAGAGCTCCAGTCCGACTCAGACGCCAGCAAGGTGGAGGTGGAGTACTGGTTTGGGCTGGTATCATCAAAGATGAGCTTGTGGGGCCTTTTCGGGTTGAGGATGGAGTCAAGCTCAACTCCCAGTCCTACTGCCAGTTCCTGGAAGACACCTTCTTCAAGCAGTGGTACAGGAAGAAGTCTGCATCCTTCAAGAAAAACATGATTTTCATGCAGGACAATGCTCCATCACACGCGTCCAAGTACTCCACAGAGTGGCTGGCAAGAAAGGGTATAAAAGAAGAAAATCTAATGACATGGCCTCCTTGTTCACCTGATCTGAACCCCATTGAGAACCTGTGGTCCATCATCAAATGTGAGATTTACAAGGAGGGAAAACAGTACACCTCTCTGAACAGTGTCTGGGAGGCTGTGGTTGCTGCTGCACGCAATGTTGATGGTGAACAGATCAAAACACTGACAAAATCCATGGATGGCAGGCTTTTGAGTGTCCTTGCAAAGAAAGGTGGCTATATTGGTCACTGATTTGTTTTTGTTTTGTTTTTGAATGTCAGAAATGTATATTTGTGAATGTTGAGATGTTATATTGGTTTCACTGGTAATAATAAATAATTGAAATGGGTATATATTTGTTTTTTGTTAAGTTGCCTAATAATTATGCACAGTAATAGTCACCTGCACACACAGATATCCCCCTAACATAGCTATAACTAAAAACAAACTAAAAACTACTTCCAAAAATATTCAGCTTTGATATTAATGAGTTTTTTGGGTTCATTGAGAACATGGTTGTTGTTCAATAATAAAATTAATCCTCAAAAATACAACTTGCCTAATAATTCTGCACTCCCTGTATACCTGGATAATTGAAATGTAAGATAAACAAGAAAACAAGTAGTGCAATATAAGATTGGTAAGATAGACTATTGCTCATCTACATACATAGGCGTGCATAAGGGTGTGCACTGTAAAGCACAAACACACACGCCGCGTGTATATGTATGTGTGTATGTATATATATATATATATATGTATATATATATATATATATGTTTTAAGGCCATTTGGCCTGTATTTGTGGGAGGGGCTTAAATTAATTCACTCCACTATATAAGGGACACCCCTTACCTGACTCATATCGCTTGAGGTCAGCATCAGAATGATTTCCACTTCCGGGTCATCCAGACGCCATTTTACCTGATTACTCCATGAGGTTTTCTAAGCTGAGCTGTGTCAGGAATCCAGCCACAGGCTTTTCCGGCCTACCACCTTCTTTCTTCAATCTATCGCTGTGGATGGTGTCCAAGTGACTCACAAACCGTAAGTCGACCTACCCGTTACGCCAGGCATCAGTCCCATGGCACCATGCACGGGTCAGGTCCTCACTTTACGGCTGCATTTTGTCTAAATCTGTCCTAAAACCATTGGATGTTTATGCATATCATTCGTTTAAATTCACTTGTTTATATCTGTCACTGGCTCATTTCGAGCATTAGCATAATCCCAAACGGGAACACATTCTTTTTCAATTGCCTAAACATACTAGGCAATTCTGTGCGTGCATTTCGAATATCACTGCTCGTTTCGTTTTGTTTCCCTGACATACCAGGCTCACGGTTCGTGCAATTTTCTACCAAACGGGTACTAGTTCATGCATTTACTATTGTACTACACACACGCTTCGTGCGTTTACAACCCACGAACAGAACTTTGGTTTGTTACAATGACTGTTATTAAGCTATTATGTTCACTTATTGTATATTGTCAAACGGGCACTTTGTTTCCCTGTCACACAACTATAATGCTGGGGCATAGCTCACAAACAATGTTTCACATAAACCACACTGACCCCTACAGGTCACTCTCAAAATCTCACGTTAACCTTGCATTTGGATTAACCCCTTAAGGACCAAACTCTGGAATAAAGGGAATCATGATATGTCACACATGTCATGTATCCTTCAGGGGTTAAAGGGTATTTTACCATACAATCAGCATTTCTGACCCCTACTGGTCAACAGCAAAACTGTCTTCACATGTCATATACAATTACCAACCAATATAAATTACACATAAGATTGTTTTAAACATAACCATAAACCATGAATTAAACTCCAACACAGGCTCAACTTCAGGTTTAATTCACAATAATTTACATTTCACATTAAGACTAACAGTGGTTCTATCAACACTGCCACCTACAGGTCTGTCAAGTACATTGACAATTTTCATGGGGTTTTTCATGGGGTTTTACAAACACCAAAACACTGACCCCTATAGGTCAACAGACAAACAACATTTCACATACCAATCAGTATCAACTACACTGCCACCTATAGGGCACTCGGCAGATCTCCAGTGCACTTGCATTTTGCAACTCCATGTTCACTTGCCATTCAATAAGGCATACAACAATTCACATAGCAAGCAGTATATCAATATCTGTTATAAATACACATATTATTACACAGTAGCACACACATCTGTATATACGTAACTGGTAATATGGTTCACTTACAAACGGCACTTAATGGGTTAAGATTGGTACATATTTAACCAGTATGGATATGATGTTTAATATTTACATATCACGGCACTTTACTTTCACATATACTGTATGTTTTAAGATAAGCTTGGTCTATGCCATATTTCTTTTTTTTTGAAAATCTGTTTATTGAAGAAAAGAGAGGGTTACAGAAAGAATTCGGCTCGCAGGCCTACTTAGAAGACAAGGGTATTGTAGCGATATTTCCATATTTTGAGTCACATTTTTTGTGCCCACATAACCAAGTCTCCTGACAGGATTTAATTACAGCGATAAGTTACGTAACTAACAGTAGGCGTACATAGGATAACAGAAAGGTAAAGTATGTAGAGTGACAACCGTCGTTGTTTTGGCGTACGTACATATGTATAGTATGTAACATCCTTATTGCTAGTAAGCGGTCTTTTAACATAAAGCGTGGCTCTAAGTCGGGTGCCTTCATAAGACACAGTATACCTTGTAGCAGGAGTGCCTAATAATAGGCTGGACATAGTTAACTAGCTCCTGGCATGAAAGGAGCGTAGGTGCTTTGGTCTTAAGGTTAGGCTTGGTTATTCTATGGGTGTGTTCCCATGTCCCGCAATTCGATGTACCGATAATAGTGCCAGTATTATGTATTCCTTTTTTTTTAATTTTTTTTTGGTTTTCTTGACTCTTGGCTTCCCCCTCCTCCCCCTGTCCCCCAGGCGTGTGCATTGTGTATTAGACATGTAAGAGGGGTCAGCATGGGAAAGAGAGTCGAAAAGGGAGAAAAGAAAGTAGCGGTCCTATCAGGTCCCCCCCCCCCTTGTCCCCATGTCGCGCCCCGTGGGTGCCCAGTGGTTATAGTCGCGTGCGAGAAGGGAGGTCTCGGTTGGGTCACGTATTTTCAGCGTTTCGGAATGTGTGTGGGAGGGTTGGGTCGGCGGGCCGATGTTGGTTTCATCTGCCCAGGGATTATATTTCCAGTGATGGAGTGGTCCCAACCCCCATGGCTTTGGCGGGGTAGGCGCGTGATCTGTCTCCCCGTCCACCGTCACTCCCTCCCCCCTCACGAGACCTTTAGTGCCCTCCAGCCTGGTAGACGAACCATGGTTGCCACATCTCCGCGTGCCTGGTCCCCCGACCCGTCAGGGATGCCTGTAGTGCTTCCGCCAACTGTATGTCTCCGACTCTGTTTCGCCATTCTGCAACCGTGGGGACCTCAGTTCGTTTCCAATATACAGGGATAAGGGCTTTAGCTGCATTCAGTAGGTGACGTAGGATGGACTTCTTGTAACCAGATATGGATCGCGAGGTGATGTGCAGGAGAACTAGTTCCTTGGACCATTCCGTGTCCTCCCCTAGTACCTCCTTGATTTCAGACCGGATTCGTTCCCAATATGGGATAATGATCTTACAATCCCACCAAAGGTGTATGATCGTGCCTCTCTCCTCCTGACATCTCCAGCATGTTGGGGACGCCGTTGGGAAGATCCTGTGTAGGGCAACTGGTGTTCTATACCACATGGATATCAGTTTATAGTTTACTTCCTGATAGTGTGAGCTGGAGGAACTCTTGTGTTGCCATAAAAGTGCTGCGTCCCACTGTGGTTGCGATATCGGTCCGCCCATTTGTTCTTCCCATTGTCTCCTGAAGGTGTTGTTAGTTGGGGTAGCTCCCAACAGCAGGTGTTGGTATAGCAGTGAGATTGCTTTGTCGAGTGTGGCTCCTCGTTGGCAAAGACCCTCAAACCATGTGAGGTCTCTATGTAGGTGTTCCCTGCGTGGAATGGATCTATAGTAGTGTGTTACTTGCAGGTAGCGGAGGGACGCCATGGGCGTATTAGGCCTGTCGGCCATTAATGTGTTTAGGGGTCAAAGTGCCCCTTCTTGAAGGACCGTTCGAATCGGGATGTAGTCCCCCTCCTCCAGAAATATCCAGGCCTTGGCCGAAATGCCTCCCGCCAGATTTGGGTTGGGGACTATGGGGAGCAGGGGACTGGGGGTCGGGGACACATGGCTGGTTTTCCGTATCGTTGCCCAAGTCTTTAGCGTCTGCGTCGTCGGGTTCCCTGCTCCTTCGCCATCGCGACATCTCGTTCCCCCTTGCCATACCGCCGCTTTAAGTGTGGCCCGTGATTCTCCCCCATCCAGGACGACCCATTGTTTTGGGGAATCAGCCGCGTGCCACTCCAGGATTCGTTGAAGTGTGGTGGCTTGGTGGTATCTTTTGAAGTCCGGGAGCGCCAGGCCACCTCCCAGTCTAGGTAGGCAAAGTACGTTGTGGCGTAGTCGAGACTTCTCCCCTCTCCAGACATATCTAATTACCGCCGATTTCAGGGTGGAGAAGAAGGTTGTCGGTGGTGCCACTGGTATTGTCTGAAATAGGTAGAGGATTCTCGGGAGCACGTTCATCTTGATTACTGCGATTCGTCCGTGCCAGGTGATGTGCGGATATGCCCATCTGTCAAGATCTGAGGTTACCTGTCGCAGGATGTTGGCAAAGTTATGTCGATAAAGTTCCTGCGGGTTTGTGGTGATCCACACTCCAAGATATTTCATTTTCTCCGCGCACCAGCGGAATAGAAAGACTGTTCCCAATTCCAGATATTCTTCCGGTGGAAAGGTTAGATTAAGTACTTCACATTTTGAAAGATTAAGTTTAAATCCTGCGATTTTCCTGAATTTTTCGAATTCTAGCAGTAAGCAGGGCATCGTGACTCGTGGGTTAGAGATAAAGAAGAGAAGATCGTCCGCGTATGCGGCCACCTTATGCTCCGTTCCCCTCCAATTGTATCCCGAGATGTCTGGGTTATGGCGGATCGCGTGTAGTAGTGGTTCCAGAGTCATTGCAAATAGTAGTGGCGACAAGGGGCATCCCTGTCTAGTTCCATTTTGAATCTCGAAGCCGGAGGTAAGGGCCCCGTTCACCCGAATAGATGCGTGTGG